GTCCGTGGCGTTTGGAGGTCTTAATGTCGACAATCCGAAGGTGAAGCAACAACAAGTTGGCGGTCGACTTTGTGCATGTCGGAACCGGGGGGAACAAATAAGCGCCGCGGGGACGGTTAGAAGCCTTCGCCTGCGTGCGTGTGTGTGTGTGTGGGTGTGTGTGTGTGTGTGTTGTGTGTGTGTGTGTGTGTGTGTGTGTGCGTGCGTGTGTGTGCGAGTGTGTGTGTGTGTGTGTGTGTGTGCGTGCGTGCGTGTGTGTGCGAGTGTGTGTGTGTGTGTGTGGTTTGTACGACACCACAACAACACGCACACAGGCACGCGCCATCCCACCATGCATCTCACCATGTATCTCACCATACACGTCCATTGCCACCACCACCACCACCACACCTGCAGATCCACCGCGATGTGCGGCTGGAGCGCTTTCTTCCACAGCAGTCCCCCGTTGCCGATTTCCTCGTGTTTGTGCAGCAGCTGCTGGCAGAGGACGCCCTTGAGACAAGTGAGGCTGCCCCGCCATGAATGGATGCAATATGACGTTATGTGGCTGATGCGGGGTGTGCATGTGGGTGTGGCGTGATGTGATGTGGTGATGTGAGACGAAACACGTCTCCTTTCGTGACCCAATGCCTACACCACCCAGCTGCAGTTGCTACAATGCCACCGCATGCACAAAGATGCGTGCGCGCGGGCATGTGCGTAAATTCATCCTCCCTTTTCCGCTCTGCTGTTCAGATGAGAGCGAGCGGCTGCGCCTGCCTGGACAGCCCGCGGCGAACGACGTGTGCTTGAACATCTACCTCTCCCACTTTGACCTCTCTGGCGTGAGTGGCGCCACCATCATCTCCAACAGCTTCAGCGGCGGCTTTTGCGACACAGACATCAAGTCAGTCGTGGTCGATCGAGTGTGTGTGTGTGTGTGTGTGTGTGTGTGTGTGTGTGTGTGTGTGTGTGTGTGTGTGTGTGTGTGTGTGTGTGTGTGTGTGTGTGCGGTTCGTGCTGTGCGTTTGGGCCTTTCATGCATTCAGTGCCCTTGATTCCTTCTCGCGCGTCCTCATGTCTGCGCCCATCACGATGATGACCACACCCATCATCATCATCATCATCATCATCATCATCATCATCATCATCATCATCATCATCATCATCATCATGCACCAATAAGGCCTCCGCTGTTTGGCGCCTCTGATGACAGGCGCGCGTGGAACACCATCGTGGCCACGAGTCTCTCGAATGGCGTCGACTTGTCAGATGACACCCTCTTCCGCACATTTGCACACGAGATTGGCCACGCATTTGGTATGATGTGCGTGCGTGCACCTCTGTGTGTGTGTGTGTGTGTGTGTGTGTGTGTGTGTGTGTGTGTGTGTGTGTGTGTGTGTGTGTGTGTGTGTGTGTGTGTGTGTTGTGATATATTGCGTTTGATGTGACGTGGCAGGGGTTAGCGAACAGCATGTATCTGCTCCAATGCACTCGGGCTTCGTCCCTTCATTGCGATCATAGCTCATCTGTTACTCTTGTGCCTTTCCCCGTTGCACCAGGTGCGTATCACACGTGCTGCCTTGGATCAAGTTGCTCCTACCAGGAATCTTGCCAGCGCAGAGACGGCAACAAATGCAACCCAACAGGTGTGTGTGTGTGTGTGTGTGTTTGTCTGAAACTGAGCGCACTCACACGCCTTCCATTCGCACACATATCACGTACACACACGCACACGCACATTCTCTCACCCCCCCCCCTCTCTCTGTTTCTCTTTCCGTGCAGACGCGTACTATCTCATGTACCCCCTGATCACCTTTGGTGAAAACTCGCTCTCGCTCTCCCCCTGCTCCCGAAGCGACATCGACTACGCCATCCAGGTGTGTGCATGAACACACGCACACACACTCACACACACTCACACACGCACACACGCACAAATGCACAAAGAGGTGCCGCTAGTGTTGGTGCTGGAGCCATGTCGATTGCCGTTCAGCGTCGCTGCCCACTACGTTCATCACAACTCCCATCACATCACAAGATTGCCAATTCTCATGCGCATGGCGCATTCATACACACACACACACACACACACACACACACACACACACACACACACACACACACACACACACACACACATTGCAACCACGCGCAGACACGTGGATCGTGCTTGTTGACTGCCGAGGAGTTTTCCACGGGCGGTTTCACGCCCGCGCCAACGCCCACCCCGACGGTGACAACAACAAGCAACGTGGTGTCAACAACAGCAAGTGAACAGCCCTCAACCACAGACGACCTCACAACAACCGCAGATACCACCACCACCACAACAAGAACAAGAACAACAACTACAACCACAACCACAACCACAACCACAACCACAACCACAACCACGCCGCAATGCCGCCGTCGCCGCCGGAGACGCAGGCGTCGACGTCGTCGTCGTCGTCGTCGTCGCAACTGCTGAGGCGACACCTGATCAATGTGCGGTGCCATGCACACGCACAACTCGTCCAAGCAAGCACGCATGTACACACGCACACGCACGCGCACACGCACGCGCACACACACACACATACACAGTTATTTAGCTGCACCTTGCACGCGCAGCATTCTTCTGTCCTCTCTTCCTTAATTTGTCCTCCACTCACTCCACTGTTCATTCTCACACGATGATAGAAACACACACACACACACACACACACACACACACACGCACTGTTCACTTCACACAACGCCCACACTTTTCCAACCCAGTTTACTGTGTCTGTTTGCATCCCCGCGGCAGAACAGGAGTAGAGCGTAACACGAACATAAACACGACCATGAGAAGTAGACGTGTGGTGACATCACCGAAACCTTCCCATCAACAAAGAGCAAGTATCAAGCCAACACGACGGGTCGTAAAGGAATAACAACGACACCAATATCCTCCGCTATCACGCACAGAATCACAACAACACACAACCACAGCGATACCGCACACACGCACGCACGCACACAAACACACACACACAAACACACACAAACACACAAACACACACACACACACACACGAACGCACGCACGCACACACACACAAACACACACAAACACGCACAAACACACAAACACACACACACACAAACGCACGCACGCACACAAACACACACACGCACACACACACGCGCATGTCGCCTCTCATCCTTCTGCGCTGCCACCAGTAGCACTGCCAGTGTCGCTGCCGGTGCTGGTCGACATGTCTTTGGCGTACCCACGATGCGCTTCCCGCCACTTGTCCGGGTCAACGCGGAACAGACTGCCAGAGTTGTGCTTCATCAGCTGCACAATCGCCTGGCTGTCGTCGGCCTCCCCTGTCCGCTTGTCAAACCGAAGCTTGTGCGCAATGCGTGTTGCGCACACCGCAATAACGGCCTGGCCCTGGCGGTCAAAGCGACACACGCAGGGGCCCGTCGTCTCAAACGACGAAAACGCACGCGAGCGAGCGCCCTCCATCTTGTAGAACCCAAACACGGACCGTGTGTTGAGGCTCGGGTTGGCAATGTGGTACAGGTGGATGGACTGGTCGCTCGCTGCGCACAGCAGGGTGGCGTCGCGGCTGAACTGCAGTGTGGTCAACATGGATGACGTGTACCCGCGACGAAACTCGTGCAACAATTTGCCGCGCTGCGTGTCGTACACACGCACGATGGTGCCGCGAGAGGAGGCCGTGGCAAGCAGCTCGCCGCGGGCGTCAATGTTCATGTTCGTGACCGGGTGCTTGTGTGCAGACACCATGGTTGGGCCAATCTTGGGCTTGTCGCTGCCTACATCCAAGATGTACACGTCCGTGGGCTGCATGCCGGGACAGGCGAGAATGTGCACAGATGGCACCGAGGACAGGGTCACCAGCGCTACAAATCAACCCGTCGAAGTACGTGTGTTGTGTTGTGTGTGTGTGTGCGTATTTGGTGTGTGTACGTGCGTATGTATGTGTTGTGTGTGTGTGTTGTGTGTGTGTTGTGTTGTGTGTGTGTGTGTTGTGTGTGTGTGTGTGTGTCGAGGGCAGCAGTGAGATCTGAAGCGAAACCAAGCACAAAGAAAGATGCCAACAGGCAAACAACGCAGGAAGCAAAGGAAAGGAAAAGATGTCCTTGGACAAGAAACAAACACAGCGCAACGCAGCACACCACACCGTGTGGGTTGGGGCGGGTCTCGATCGTCCGCAACAGCTTTGGAAACGGTTTGCCGGGGAAACTGAACACCGATACCTCGTCGTCAACCACTGCAACAAGCCTGTGCACATGCGTGAGCATCTGACCATCTTCCCAACGGAACAATGGCCACTCTTTGTGCTTGTATGTCAAAGCACACACACACGCACACACGCACACATGCACGCACACGCACATGCACACGCAAACAAACCATGTAAATACACCAGCCGCACACTGCACACCACACATATACACACACAAACAAACAATGGATACACACGTACCTTTGGTGCTTGACGAGGAGGTTAAGAATGTTCTTCTTGAGTTCGATCCTGTGCACGATGCGGCCTTTGACATCGTCCCACACACAAACTGCGGCAAAGGAACGCCAAGGACAGAAAAGTAGCGAAGAAACTGTGGTGAGCGTGGGGTTGTCACACACACGAACACACACACACACACACACACACATACACACAGAAGACCAAGCAAGCAAGGCCCAAGCAAATCAAGCTTGCACAGGGCCAACACGAGGACGCACTTCTGTTCGGTGCATCCACGGGCTTCTCGCCTCCACCAACAAGCAGGACAATGTTGCTTCTGTTCAACAGCTGCGCGATTGATACCCCGCCATCCAGGTCTGCACACACACATGCACAAGGGTAAGACGGAGTGAGATCTATGCCTGCCAGCATAAACGCGTAGCTGTGCACATCACATCATGTCCCAGACATCGCACTCTCAAACACGATGTGTCATGACAGAACATGCACACACGAAATGCGCGCTCACCTTGCTTCTTGATGAGCGTTGTTGGATCCGAGTTGTACACCCAGAACCCTTCACCCGTGGCGATGGTAAAGCATGCTGATCAACCAATCACACCAACAACAAAACAAGCAAGGACAGGAAGTCAGCCAAAGCCCAAAGCCTCGAACAAAGCAATCAACACTATCATCAACAACACAGCCCCTCTCGTGTGTTGGTGACCTTCAAACCCACGACGACGGCATGGACGACAACCACCACAACAAATCACACAGCCACGAGCAAACCTTTACGCACACACGCACGCACGCACAGGTGCGCAGCAGACTAGGATCGAAACATTGCTTACATTCATCCAGCGACCACCGCACACGCGGTAGCTCAAGCGGCGCTGCGTCTGCCATGGTGTTGTTCTGTTTGTTGTCGCGCAAAAGCTGCGGTGGGAATGGCTTTTTGCTGTGGTTGGCGAAAATTGGCTGAAGATATCCACCAATCACCACCACATTTGTTTGGATTGTGTGTGTTTGTGTGTTCATCCGTGTCTGTGTGTGTGCGTGTGTGTTCATCCGTGTCTGTGTGTGTGTGTGTGTGATTGTATGCACGTTTGTGTCTGCCTGCCTGTGTGTGTTTGTGTCCCTGCCTGTTTGTGACTGTGTCTACCTGTGTCCATGTGTTGCTTGGCATGCTCTTCGATGATGTTTCACTTAAAGTGTTCACTTGAAACCAACAACAAAAGCAACAACCACACACACACACACAAACGTGCATACAATCACGTCCCATTCTCTCACGTCTCACTCCCACTCACACCCTCACACTCATACACACACTCACACACTCACACACACACACCCTCTCTCACACACTCATCACTCTCCTCTCTCGCCCTCTCTCACACACACACACACATCACTCTCCTCTCTCAAATCACACCTCCTGAGAAGATGACGAGGAGGAGGAGGAGACAAACTCGTACAGGCTGTGTGCGTGTGCGAGCGCGAGCGTGTCTGGCAGGAACTGGAACCACGCCGCCTCGGAAATGTCAACCTCCGTCAGGTACTCCAGATAGTCCTTGAGCGGGCCGTCGCTCGGGAAGTTTGCCTCCGTCAGCCGGTTCACCAGCAGATCACGCAGCAGCGTCTGCAAAAAGTCAAAGTCAAACGCGTGCATGTCCCGCTTCAGCACCGCAACCACATCTGCCGGCAGCGGCTCGCGGTACGACGAGTGCACAAAGTCGAGCGTGGTCGCAGACAGCTGCTGCTCCAACAGCACAAACAGGCTCTGTACGTGTCGCAGCTGCACGTGCCTGTTGATGGAGTCGCACGAGGCGCTGGCCCACGTGTCCGCATTCACCAGCAGCGTGCCCGTGATGTAATCTGCAAGTAGCGTCTCCTCGGAGATGCCGGCAGCAGCAGAGAGGCCGCCCACGGAGGCCAGGAACGAGATGCACGCCTCAAGGTGGCCCAGCACGGCGTTGATGCGGTTCTGCGTGTCCAGCTCGCTCACAATGTGCGCGCTCACCGCCTTGCTCAGAGCAGCCTGTGGCACACGCATGCGCAGGGTGCTCAGGTGCCCCGTGTTGTTCAGCTCCCCGCCGTAGTGGTACTGCTGCAGCTCAAGCTGAATTGTCGACTTGCCGTGCAGCAGACGGCGCGCCAACGCATTCTCCACGCCGGCAAAGTCAAACCACGACGTGATTCCCGTCACCGCGTATCGCAACGGCTCAATCGCATGCAGGCGCACAAGCCGCTCCATCTCGCCACGCGAGTACTTGATGATGGCTTGGTCCAGCGCAACCCGCGGCGTAAGATGCGATACAGCAGCGCCAAACGCGCTCGCAACAGCCTGCGCGTCTGCTCGTACCACATGCTGCTGTTGTGGCTGCTGCTGTTGCCGCTGCTGCCCTTGTTGCTGCTGCTGTGCATGGTCGACGGTCATTGCAGCTGCTGTGTTCACAGGCGCCCTTGCGGCAGCGAGTGCAGTCACCAGTTCGTTGTGTGCGTTGGCCAGCAGCCGGCACAGCTGCAGCGTGCACAGGCCTCGCGCATCCGTCTCGCCACGTGCGTGTGCCGGCAGCGAGAAGATGATGGCGACGCTCGGGCTCATGGGGAGGCCTGGGGACTGCTGTAGTCCAGACAGATCTACCTCCTTGCGCTGTGTCAAGAAGGGGTTCGGGTCGCACTCGTAGATGTTCTGTGTCAAACGTGACGAGCGTACCCATTGAGCAAGGTGGGGGATGGATGGAGTGGGAGGTGAGGAACGGCAGGCAACAAAGAACGATTGAAAATGCACAGAGCATCACAAGTGAGTGCACGCAACATGAAATAATAAATCTGTGTAACATCACAACTGGCATGAACCAAGCAGTGCTGCTTGGTGGTGTAAAACAAACTCGACACTGCAGAAACCAGTTAGCCGCTCCACGCAACAGTCAAGTACGCCCCAAACCAAACACCAGTCATGTCAGTCGCCCCTACATGCACACCAATCCCAACGCTGCATACCACCGCACATTACAACACCACACCACGCGCCATCTGCATGCGTACCGGGTGCAGGAGAGGAAAGGCGGCGTTGAATCCGGTACAGAAGCGATCGAGGACACGCGATGCGGCCTCGCGTCGTCCCACCGGCAGCATTGCAACCACATCCGCGTTGGTGATCTCCGCTGCTTGCTCACGTGTCAGGCTGCCGTCCGGGAACACGTCAAATAGGACAGCGTGCCAGGCGAGAATGTCCACCAGCACATGCACATGCACCAACCGCTCCTCCATGCGCTGCACAGCATCAAGCAGGCGATGGCGCGTCTTGTACTCGCTGCTGGACTGAAAGTCCTCAAAGAAGCGGTCGAGCGTGACGGGCTCGCGTGGAGACCGCAGCATCGTCAGCAGCGACGCGCCACTCTCATCGTCCATGCGCTGAGACAGCAGTGATTCAAAGTACATGCTTTCGCCACTGTCATCGTCATCATCACCATCGTCATCATCGTCATCGTCGTAGTCAGTGGCACCGCCACGACGACGCCGGCTGCGAGGGTCCCTGCTACCTGGCACCGACGCCAAGTCTGCTCGAGCCGACGATTTGTCTTGTGCTGACGATCCTGCTGCTGACTCGCCCGCGTTTGTGCCGTCCGCAACTTCAATCTGCTGCTTGCACCAGTTCCACAGCCTGGCAAGCTGCTGCCCGCGTGTGTCCTCCACGGCGCTCTCTGCCGCCCTGCGCAGGTACGCCGGGTCGGTCAGATACTTGTTTGCTGTTGCGTTCTGCAGCGTCCGCTCGTACGCGTCGCGCTTGTCAGCCGTGGAGAACGCAGGCGGGATGGCGCTGTTGTGCATGTGTTTGAGGAGGAGCACAACGAGCATGTACGCCTCCCGTAGCGAGCGTCGCCGGGCAATGGCGTCAAGGTCGCGCAAGCACACGTGTGTCAGATCTTGCACAAAGCGTGCCTGCGTCTTGGAAATGCTGCGCTTGGGGCCACGCAGGAATTGCATGGCGGAGGTAGGCCCAAACGCAAACAGGCTCAGGCGAACGCTGAGGTGCAGAATGAGCCGCAGCGCCGCCACAAACGTCGTGGTGAGCGGCCGCCCCACATTCGAGTACTGCCCGGTGTGTGTGTGTGTGTGTGTGTGTGTGTGTGTGTGTGTGTGTGTGTGTGTGTGTGTGTGTGTGTGTGTGTGCGTGCGTGCGTGCGTGTGTGTGTGTGTGCGTGTGTGTGCGTGAACATGTGTGCGAACGTGAGTGTTTGTGTACGATTATGTCAGACGAGTGTCAGTGATTAGGCGAGACAACAACAAATGGCACAGTGGTACCGCTTACTCCAATCCCCCCCCCTCCACCCTTTGAACAATTTGTCTGGCCGCACCTCTGAATCGGAGATTCTGGTGTTTGTTGAGAGCATGTTGTGGTTGAGTCCGCCAATCGACTTTTTGCAGTCGGGGCACCTGGACTGCTGCATCGGCATCGTGCACTCGCCAACAGAGTACAGGTGGCCCTGCGCAGCATGGAAACGCAGAAACGACACCCCCATCAATACAAAGGACAAGTCAGCAAGGAAGGACACAGTGCGTGTGTGGTGACTGACATGCAAAACACAAGCAGTGGGAGAGAAAGACAGACAGACGGAGAGACGGAGAGACGGAGAGACGGAGAGAAGTCCACGTACGCACGCACATCAAGTGGAGCCCCTCCCCCCCACACACATGCGCACGCACACGCATGCACGCACACGCATGCACGCACACGCATGCACGCACGCACGCACGCACACACGTACACACAAAAACACAAAAACACACACACACACACACACACACACACACACACACACACACACACACACACGCACGCACGCACGCACGCACACGCATGCACGCACGCACGTACGTTGGGGCAGCGGTACCAGCCGACATAGGGTGAGGAGTTGAAGATGAGAGCGAGTTCGTTGCCTGGGATGGTGACGATGTAGGCTTTGGAGGACGAGGCAGGCGACACCACAAGTTCACCGAGCCAGGACCGGGGTTGACGCATGGCGATGATGCCCAGCACAAACGCCAGCTGCTGCAGCACCACATCTTCCTGTTCGTGATCCTCTTCGTCTTCCGCCGTGTGGGAAAACTGGCACGGGCCAAGCAGGAGACAACAACAAGCCATGTAAGTCGTACGTTGAAGCGATTGTACGAAAGCACGCGACGACAGTGAGCAGGCGCCTTTCACTGACACGCTGCATCACAACACAGGCCGTGCGCGCGCGCACGTTTATGTACATGCGCGTGCGTGCATGTGTCTGTATGTACATGTGTGTATATGTAACAACACGTGAGTAAACGTGTGTATATGTAACAACACGTGAGTAAACATGTGTATGCGCATTCACCCCAAAGCGGCAGCCATCGAGAATCCACTGCAGCAGCTGGTAAGCTGGACCAGAGAGCCGGGACAACACGTTCGCACGCAACCACTTGTGCAGTTCTTTCACGCCACGCGTGCCTTGATGTGTGTGTGTGCGTGTGTGTGTGCGTGTGTGTGTGCGTGTGTGTGTGCATTTGTGTTTGTGTTGTGTGAGTGTGTTTGTATGAACATCGAAAAGTAATTCATGAGCAAGAACAACAAAGCATGTGGGCACACGAACAAGCGCGAAATGTAGCACCTGAGACCAAAACAGCAACAATGACAACCCAAACACCACGCATTGCCCCACATAGCACGTGCTTACGATGGAGGTTTGGCTCGATAACTTGGGAAAAGTAGGCACCAAGAAAGCACGAAAAAGCGTTCATCAGCTCGGATGACAGGAGCGAGGGCGAAAACTGGTGCTTGAGTTCCGAGTAGTCATCGCACGTCACCGCAAAGTGCACGGCCACATTCATCAGCGGCTGGTTCTGCGCGTGCGTGAAGTGCTTAAACACGTCCGGCAGCCTGTCACTCGCCGCAACCTGCAGCGTGCGATCGAGCTTCACCCAAGGCCGCTGCTGCTCCGTCCACGCCGTCAGCATCGCAATCCCCTCGATGCCCATCGTTCGCCGCACCCGCTTGAGCACGTGCAGCCCAGCCCAGTGCTCCGCCAACAGCTGCGCCAGCGGGCCTTGCGGCGACTGTGCGGGCGGGCGCGTGGCGCTACGTCGTTGCAGAGACCGCGTGAAGCTCGAAAGCGCACGGTGGCACGCCACCAGACCGCGCAGGAACACGGTCACACCGTCGTCCCGCTTCTCCACGGAGAGCGCGGCCTTGGGCAACGCCACAGCCTTCACCGCACGGGCTGTGAGCACGCGTGCAGACTTGTCGCTGCCACTGCCGCCGTCAGCATGGCCCTGTGCATTGCGATCCATCACGTCCCACAACGTGACGAGCAGCGCCTGTGCAGACACGCGCCCGCGCCGTTGCTCGCACATGTCCATCGCCGTCGTGCCAGACACCGTCTCGAATGCAATCAGCGCACCGCGCAGCACCAAGCTCTTGGCCTCGGCTGCAGACGTGCGGTTACCGTGATTCGCGCCCTCAAGCTCAAACTCGCTCAGCAGTGTCCACAGCCGCTCGCACACCGACGCACGCGCACGCATCAGGTGGCGCGGGCTCAGCTCCACGCACGCCATGCAGTGCTGCAAATAGGCCGAGACGAGCGAGGCCTGAAGATAGTCCATGCGCCGCGCAGCAAGCAGGTGCACGCTCTCAGCCTCGTCCACAGCGGTCATGCCGCTCAGCCACGCGTCCTCTGCCGCAAACAGCGCGCCTTCCCTGAATACAGCGCACACCTGCGCCACCGTGCGCAGCGCAGACGTGATGTGCGCCGTGTCCACAACACGCAGGCTTGCGGCATTCTCCAGCAGCACGTGCGCGCCCAGCACGTGAGGGGTCACGCCCGCTTCCTCCAACTCCAAGGGCCCGAGGTGGCCTCTGGCGCGGTATCGCAAGCTGGTGACTCTGCGCAGCGGCTGGCATGCTGTTTGCTGCAGCACTTGCAGAAGATCCGCCAACGCAGAGAGACCCGCCATCTCACGCAGTTGTGCGCACGTTGCATTGCGTTGCGGATCATCACCACCACCATCATCTTCTTCTTCTTCGCTGCTACTGTCCTCTTTGTGTTCGTCGCTGGCCTCGCTACCGTGTGCGCACAAGAGCCGGTTCACCTGCGGCGAGACAGTGTGGATCGTCTGCACGGCCTCCACCAATTGCACCAGCGAATCCTCCCCAACCGCCGACTCAAGCTTCTCCCGAACTGCTCGCAGCACTTGCTTCGTCAGCTCCGTGTCCACCGTCTGCAGTCGTGCACGCGCAGCGGACATGGAGGTGCCAGCTGTTGCTGCCATCGCTGTTGTTCCTGCAGTCGTTGCTGGCGATGCTCCCACTGCATGACCGTCGTCACCACGATTGTTCGTATCATACTCACCACCTTCAACATCATCGTCATCGTCATCGTCAGCGTCATCGTCAGCGTCGTCAAGCAAGAGGTCGTCGTCGTCCTCGGGGGCCAGAAATGTGGCGCCGTCACCAGCGGCACCATAAGCAGTGCTTCCGCTTTGCTGCGGCGACGGTGAACTGAGCAGCGAATCCACACAATCCTCCAAGTGCTCCAGGACGCTGTCGACATGGATGACGCCCGACAGGTGCTCGTTGGCCAGGAGCGAAAGATAGGTGGACAGGCGAAGCTCGTTTTGCATCAGCACGGCGTGCAGCCCGGCCACGCTGGCGAGCAACACGGGGTCGCATGCGCGTCCAATCAGCGCCAGGCACCGCGCGTGCTGCTGCCAGGTGAGGCCCCGCGAGGGTGCAACGTGATAGTTGACCAGATCATACAGATACCGCAGCTGCTGTCTCTGTGCGTCGCGCTGCGACGCCCAAGCGCGCACAAGGCTCGGCCCAAACACGGTGTGGCATGCCTGCTGCAGCACGCTTGCGGCGCGCATCACGTCTGTGCCTGCCTTGGTCAGCACGAGGGCGCGCGTCTGCTCAGCCACCAGATGCTTCATGATCCGATATGACATTGGGAACGCGTTTGGCGCAATGGCGTGCTGCCCTGCGTGGGGCATGGTGATGACGCGGTGCTGCTGTGGGCGGTATGTCATGCCAAGCGCCTCAACATCAAGCACAGTGGGCGAGCCCCACAGCTTGAAGCACAGGTCCACGCTTGCGCGGTCACCACGCTCCAGCGCAGCATCCAGAACACTCAATGTGAAGTGGTGGTCAAGCGCAGGCAACACGTATGCCATGATGTCCACAATCACCGCCTCCAAGCACGTGTGCAGTGACTCACGCAGGGACCCGTGCGGGGTTTTCGATGCCCATTGCACATGAACGGTGGAGTGCTTGCCGTCGGCGAGTGCCACACGTGCCACCTCCTCCACCACTTTGGCGAATAGGGCGAGGAAGCGCGCGTTCTTCAGCAAACGTGAGAACATGACCACGCGGGCATAGTGGTTTGTGGACGCAGGTGTGGACAGCTCACGTCCAACGCCACCGCTGCCGTCGCCATCGCCATCACCATCTTCTGCAGCACCACGGCCACGGCCACCGCCAACACCACCACTATGGTCAGCAGCTGTGCCGCCTGCTGTCTCGACGGGGACACGGCAGCGGGAGAGCGCGGCCATAAACTGCGTCTTGAGTGCACGCTCAACGGAGATGTGGCCGTCACGCACAAGCTCGTACACGGTGCGCTGCACTTGCACGCGGAAGGCGCCCTGCTGCTGTGGCCGCAGGTCGTCGCAGAAGAGGCACTGCCAGTCCCGCATGAACGTGAGTGGGAAGTAGCGCTTGCGGCCCTTCACGCTCGGGGGAAGATGCAGCACAACCAGCACCTTGATGTGCGATGCCTGCCGAGGCGAGAGCCCGCTGTCTCGCAGCATCCTGTCACGTCCCGCGCGACACAGCCACATGGCGTGGCGAATCACCTCGGCCTTGGCAGCAAGCGAGTCGCACTGCAGCACCAGCAAAGCATGCGTCTTGGTGTCTGAAGCTAGCGCCGTCAGGCCTTGCTCACGTACCACCGCGCCCGCGCCCTCGCGATGCGCACGCTGATGACTGCGTGCTTCCGTGCCCTCACCAGCACTCTCGTCGCCTTTGTTGCTGCCGTTGTCCTCGTTGTCGTCTTGGGCTGTGGCCGCACGAACGAGCGCAGCGGCATCGGTGAAGAAGCCGGTCAGGCGCGCCTCCAGCTGCCGCTCCGAGGAGAAGGCAGCAAAGTTCTCATAGTGCACATCCCACGCTGGTCCAACAAGCCCGTCAAAGGTCGATGGCGTCATGTGTGCCGCTGCAGACTGGGTCAGCAGCACCGTCAGATCGCTGTCCACGTCACGGTACGTGCGACGCTTGCGCCGGTGTTGCGCCTCATTGTCCCTGCACGTACGTTCGTCTTCAACCTTTGCTTCCTCGGTCACGGTCGTGGTGGTCGCAGTTGCGGGTGTACTCGTGGCTGTGCCTGTGGTGCTAGCGGTGTCACCCACAGCCGACTGCTCCTCGGGCGCTGTCGCGGTGCCCTTGGACACTGTTTCTTCTTCTGCCACATCTTCTGCTGCCTCTTCTTGCTTTGCTCCAACCTGCGTTGTTTCGGCACCAGTACCTTGTTGTTGAGCACCTTCGTCCGCCTTTGCCACATCTGGCTGCCTTGCTGCCGTCGTCATTGTCGCACCATCACCGCCCACATCAGCAGTGGCAACGTCGCTTGTCGCATCGGTACCATCTGAAGGTGTTTCTTCGCCCTGGGTGGCGGCAGCTGTTTCGCCCTGACTCTGCGCTGCGTTGGCGTCTGCGTGCTGCTGCTGCTGTTTCTTCTTCTGTGGCTGCGCCTCCTTTTCTGCGGGCGCTGCTGTTTGCAGAGACGACAATGTGTGCGTCTTCTTTGGCCGCAGCACATATGCGCGCATGACGGCAGCAAGGTCGCCATGGGTCTGGAGAAAGCCGTCCAGGCCACCAAACGCCTCTTGCAGCGTTGGCGAGTGCAAGACGGCCGATGGCGTGGCGATGCGGTACAGCCAGTCCTTGACCAGGTCGCCTGCACACTCCATGTCCTCATCGGAAGGCACGGGCTTGAACTTGAGCGCCAGTAGGACTGCAGACGGCAGGCTGTCGTTGGTCAGGCAAGGGAACACGCGCGACACCTTGCCGAGCCCCGTCTCCCTGACAATGGCCCGCACCCACTCCAGCAACTCCTCTACCAGCGGCTGCTGGTATTTCGTCACGACGTCGTGCGGGCGCATGAGCTGGCGCTCAAAGCGGTTGAGGAAGGGCAAGTCCAGCTTGCGCTTCGCCGCGTCCTCCACAATGACAATCACCTTGAACCCGTCTGCAACCTCGCACAGCTGCGAGCGGGAGCCGATGGCCAGGCGAAGCATGCGGACGCGCTTGCCTTGCTTGTTCGTCTTGGTCACGTATCGCATGTTGAGGAGGTCGTACAGCGACTCGAAGATGTTGAAGTGGTTGACGAGGATGAGGGTGTCGCCGGCCTCCATGGCGCGACGCACGTCGTTGATCTGGTGGATCAGCTGCAGCTCAGACGCGTCTTCCGTGAACTGGCTGCCAATCAGCACGCGTGTGTTGGTGCCTTGGATCAGACCGGCCCCAAACAGCATCTCCAGTGCCATGGAGTTGGACGTGAAGAGCAGGAGGTGGCGCGCGTGTGCATCGCACAGGTTCGCGCGCGCAAGATCAAGCACGTGCACGGGGCGTTCCGATGCGCCGTGCCCAAGACAGCGGATGTGGAACAGACGCACGGCCCGCGTGAGCAGGGCTGTGTCGCCGCCAAAGTTGCGGCAGACGAGCATGTTGAGGTCGTGGGAGGTCATGCCGCGGAGGAGGCGCTTTGGGTCCGTGGTGAACTGTCGCTTCATCATCTTGAGCAGGCTGTAGTAGTCTCGCATGCCAAAGAACACCTTGGAAGCCCGCTTCTTCTCGCCCTCTTGGATCAGTGTGTGAAACGCAGAGGCAAGCGGCTCCAGCATCCGGTTCAACAGCTGCTGCACAGCTGCTTTTGATTCGCCCAGAATGTGGCGGCCTGTGGGCACATTTTGGAGGGAGGGGGCACGCAGGTGGGGGATGGTGGTGATGGTGGAGAACATGTGGTCTTGAGAGGCAGAAGACACTGGAGGTTGACGCGATTGCACGCAACGCACAAGTGTGTACGCAAACCAGACGACAAGCAAGCACACGCACACGCACAAACGCACAAACGCACAAACGCACAAACGCACAAACGCACAAACGCACACACACACGCACCAGTTGTGACAAGGGTCTCGAAGTTTGGGCTTGGACGGCTCAGGCAGATTGCGCGGTTCATCTTTGCTGCATCAAGCGCCTGGTTGTGTGTTGAAACATCACGATCATCATGAGGTGAGCAAGGACGCCTTAACAAAGCATTCAAAACATACAAGGCAACATGGATCGCGAGCGTACCCAGTTTGAGACGCCCACGATGGGGATGGGCGGGTCCACAAGAAGACCGTGAAGAACCTTCAGCGGCATGTCGGGAGAAAACTCCGCAAGACCAATCTGCCATTCAAAGCACAACAGCAGAAGCGTGAGGTGTTCCACGGTTGATAGTGAACGATGCAGGGCCTGTTGGCAGTGTCATCGTGCTCAGCACAAGGACGGCTCACACATGCCTACAACAAGTAACGGATGTACACACGCTCACAAGTCGTGATGCACTTACGCATGCGCACATACACGAAATGCACATACATCCACGCACTCGTTCACGCAATTCATGCACACATGTGCACCCATACACACGAATGACCAACCTCATCGAGGACCAGAACGGCGGCGACATCTTCGGACGACGCCTGATAGCGCTTGGCAACCTCAAACTGCTGCAGAATGCCGCTGGCCGTGGTGAGAGGCGAGCACTGGAATTGGAACATGGTCACGGCCGGGAAGCGCCGCCAGAACGGGTTCCTGCTCTGCGGCCCTTGCAAATTTGCAGAAATGACCTGTTGGAGTGCACAGTGACAAAGACAGATGGTGTGTGTGTGTGTGTGTGTGTGTGTGTGTGTGTGTGTGTGTGTGTGTGTGTGTGTGTGTGTGTGTGTGCGTGCATGTGTGTGTGCGTGCGTGCGTGTGTGTGTGTGTGTGTGTGTCTGTCTGTCTGTCTGTCTGTCTGTCTGTCACATCGACAGTCGGAATCGAACCCCATTCACCTTGCAACAAGCAGCAGCAACAGCAGCAAGGGCATGACCATGATCACGTCAGGCGTGTGCACAACCCCCCCCCCTACGGCCCACCAAAGGCCAAGCAAACGACTACACATCCAAACATACCTGCAAGGCGAGCGTCTTTGAGCTGCCTGGCTTGCCGACAATCATGCATGGCAGCTTGTTGAGCATGGACACGACGGTCACAAACACGTTTTCCTTCAACGCACTGTTCAGGGCAACATCCTCTTCAAGCGACACGTTCTCACAGAACTTCTGCTGCAACTGCTGGATAATGGATTCAAACGTGCCCTTGTGCCGCAGCGGTTCCATCTTGCTCTCAATGAGGTTGAAGGACCGGAAATCCGCCTGCTTGCGCAACCTTGTCCAGTAGCCCTTGCGCGCCTCATCGCTGTTGAGGCGATACCAGTACGTGAACGCCAGCGCGAGCGTGGCTGCCACGGCCAGCGGGGAGATCTTGGTCGCCTTCTTCGTCACCAGGTTGGACTTGAACCACACGAGCAGGTTGAGGCAGCGACGCACGTCGCGCAGGCTGGCGGCGCTCACATCGCCATCGCACTCGCGGATAAACGCCTGTGACAGCAAGATCAGCCGCGCCACAAGCTCGTGCTCGTGTCGTTCGTGGTCTGGGAGGCTTCCCTGAACCATGCCCAAGATGTACGAGTCCTCCTCGGTGGAGGACAGTTGCCCAAAGTCAAATGCAAAATCCAGAAAGGTCAGCGGCACCGGGTGCACGCGATAGACAAGTTTGGCCATTGTGTCTGTGCGCTCCTGCTGCAGCGTGTACACCAGGCCGGGGGTCTGTGTGCCCTCCTTCTGCACGCGCTCACGATACGGGTTGAGGGCGCACAGCACCTTGATGCCCGAGGAAATGGGACGCCCGTGCAGGGAGCGGCTGAACACAATCTCCCGCACAAGCCCAATGTGGTTGCAAGTGTTCACCTCATCCAAAAACACAAACACGCGTGCTGTGCTTGGGTTCGGTGCGGACGCAAGCTCCTTCTCCGCGCGGGCGAAGATGTCCTCAAACTCGCGTTCCTGCGTGCCGCCGTGCACATCCAAGATGAGCAGGGGCACGTCGAGCCACTCGCACAGGAAGCGAATCAGCATGGTCTTGCCGCAGCCGCACTCGCCCAACAGCACGACAGGGATGCCGCAGCGCAGGCGAACGTACACCGCCACCATCTTCAGCAGGTTGTCGATGGTGAGGTGGTACTTGCCGCCAAGCAGCGCGCGCGCCTCATCGCTCGAGCGTGCGTGGCCCGTCATGCCACTCAGCACCTCATGCACGTGCTTCTCAAGGTCGGTGAAGCTCTGCGGCACCACCACTCCGTGCTCTTCCAAGGCCTGGCTGGTCGCAAGCCCCAGCCTGAAGTTGCGCATGGTGTATGGCTGCAACGACAGCAGGAAGGCGCCCTTCTCCAGCTCAGCGTGGAAGACGAGGCAGTCGTGCAGCGCCTCACCCCACGGCTGAATCAGGCGACCAGCAGCCGTTGCAAACGGATTTGGGGCGTCTTCAATCACCTTCTCCACATCTTCCTCCTCGTGCTCCTCCTTCCTATGCCCAACACGCAAGGCTGCATCGCCGCCGCCACCACCATCGCCAGTGCCGATCATGGCACTGGTCCTGGCCAGGTGCTTTGGGACTGTACTGGCGCCACGACGACTGGCAGCGGAGGCCGACGATGGCGCTGATGACGATGATGGTGATGATGACGACGGCGTTGGTGACGCCAAAGATGCATCGTCGTCGACTTGCCGCTCTGCGCGCATCTTGTCTACGCGCGGCCATACGCTGTTTCTGGCCACCCACGCCGGCACGGGATCTGGTGGTGGCATGTCCACCTCCATGGAAACGCTTGGCCGGTAGGTGTGCTTGGTGGCCTCATCAGCATGCAATACCGTCCACGTTGAAGAACCAAGGCGACCCATAGACGTAATCAGGTGTGTCTGGCCAGAGTGAATGAAGCACCACCCAGTGAGCGGGTTCAGGCGCAGCACTACGTCGTCGTGTGCGTGCAGCAGCACAATGAATGCCGAGGGCGTACACAGCCACTGCTCTCTGGTCGCCACAAACTCTTTTTTCAAGCGGCCTGCAGCCACGCAAACGCGGACGGTGTTGCCGGGCGCTTCCTTCCCAATCCACTGCGTGAGCGAGCTCAAGCTGGACACCGCGTGCCCATCCACTGCTGCTGTCACCGTGACATCAGATACCGTCGACGTCGTCACACGGCACCAGTCGCGGGTGCCACTGGGATCAGTGCTCACAAGATGCATCTTGGCGTAGTGCTGAGATGGTTCCTCGACCACCCACGCCTCACGATGGCGGCTGATTGTATTCGTGGTGGTGGTGTTGGTGGGTTGTGGTGTTGGTGGGTTGTGGAACTGGAGTGAGAACCCACACATGTGACAAAACAAAACGAGTAGGGCGCACACGATGGGAGGAAGGAGGACGAACATTACCCCTCTCAAAGACACACACACACACACACACACACACACACACACACACACACACACACACACACACACACACACACACACACACACACACACACAAACTGCACAGCCAAAACTGGCCCGCAAAACAAGCAGGTCAGCAAGCAAACAAGCAAGTAAGGCACTTTACACACCAGTAGTAGAATTGCACACCGCTTGGGTGCACATACGAGCGGAGGCCGTTGATGCGTACGGACTGAGAAAACGCGCCGTGGAGATTGACGCCTGTGTTGCGAACCTGCACAACGTCGCTGAAGGCGCGGCCCTGGGCCTGAACGGTCTGGCGCCCGCCAAACTGCAGCGCGGAATCAAGCACAAAGCCAATGATCCTGGCGGCGAGAGCTGGGCGCGTGGAAGGGTTGCAGCCCAGCAGCACGCGCCCTTCCAACAGTAGCTGTGCCAGCTGGTAGAACAAAACGTTGATTGTGTTCCAAACGGACCAGAGCGAGGGCTGTTCTTCTTTCGCTTCCACCATCGCCAGCTCAAGCAGCGACCAACACCACTCCGCCGGCAAATCTTTGCTCTCGTCCTCGCACAGCAACGACACATACGGTGGCGTTGCGTTGTCCATGCCAAGCGACGCGCACGCACGCGCATAGTAATCAAAAAGCACGCGGCTCACAAACGACAGCCGCTGCTGCGCTGTCACGTGCGCAAACTTGTCTGGTACAGCAGTGCGCACCACTTTCGCTGCTGTTGCGTTGCTGGTGGCTTGATGTTCGTCCACACTGTCGACCTTGTGTGTCGTGTCGCCACCTGCTTCTGTTCCGGGGCTGTCGCCCTTACCATCCTCATCCGCACCGTCCTTCCCAGCATCGTTGCGGACTGGCTGTGTGTCCACTAACGCCAGCGCCGTTGCTGATGCACTGCTGCTGCTGCTGCTGCTGCTGTGGGTGAAGGCCTGAAAGTGGTGCCGCATTCCAATTCGCAGGCGTGTTGCATCTGTGCAGAATGTGGCCGCGCTTGGGCGGACAATGTGGAGGCCGAGAACGCGGAGTGTGCGGCACGCGCGAAGCACGTACAGGCTGGGCACCTCAATGTAGATGCGCGTGGTTGCGCTCTTCCAAAAGGCAACCGTGGACCGGTGTTGCATCAGCTCAAGCAGCACCAGCCCAAACATGAGCGCATCCAACTCAACCAGCTGTTCCTCCAGCAAGCACACGTCAAAGTGAATTGCCGTTTGCTGTTGTGTGTGAGGACGGACGCCACCACCACCACCACCACTTGTGTTGCGGGTCACAGGCGTGGCATTGAGAAGCTCTGGGTCGAGAACAACTGAGGACGGCATCGCTCGCACAGCATTCACCGTCTGCGAGTACAGCTGCTCGAAGGAGGTGATGGGGACATGTGCAAGGGCGTATCCGTGCGCAGCCGCGTCCTGCCTCACCCAGAACGTCTTGCCGGCGCCTGCCTGTTCAGAAGCCACCACAGTCACGCCCGCTGTCATGGCCTGCAGGTATTGGCGCACAATCTGCTGCGTCGTATCAAGCGGCAAGCGCACAGCGGAACAGCGCGCAAACGCCAGTTGGTTCGACACGTAGTGCGTGCTGTCAGCCCCAGCCACCACAAGCAGCGGCGCCTGTGCGTATCTGCTCCACAGCTGGATTTGCTCTGCCGCTGTTTGCTGCAGCGCCAGCGGAACGTCCAGCAACATAATGCAGAACAACCGCTTCTCGCTGCCCTCCGCCCGCACCGCGCCTTCGCACATACCGTCGTACCCATCAGCACCAGCGTCAAGAAGCAACTCGTCTTCATCATCACCAACACCATTGCCAGCGTCCGACCAGGTCCTCGGCATGCGCTGCTGCCTTGCTGCTTCTGTCGGGGCAGCCGTGGCAACCTTCTTGTGCGAGCCGGTCTGTCCCCAGCGGGCCACAAACCGCACCACCTCCTGCACGGACGTGTGAGGACGAGACAGCAGCATGGTAGCGTGCTCGGGCATTTGTCGGTGAAGGGCATATGCAGACAGCACCGTGTCGATCGCTTCTTCGTGCGATTCCACGCACACCAGATTCACGCCGTCCCCGTAGGTCTGCACGTGTGCTGCCGGCGCTGCCTGCTCCAAGTCGTCAGCGTCGGACGCGTGTTGCCTGCTGGCTTCAGCGGACCCCGTCGCAGTCCGGGAGGGAAGATGTGCAATTGGCGTGCGCGCGCGCTCGTCACGGGCAGCGACAGTACCACCTTCTCCATCGCCATCATCATCGCCATCACCCTCATCGTCATCGTCCAGGTCTTCTCCAGCTGCTGTTCCTGTACCTGCGGCGGCTGCTGCCGCCGTGTCGCTTCCTCTGGTTGTCGCTCCACCAAGAACCAAGGGCGTTCCAGCATCGGTTGTCATCGCTGCAACTTCGTCGTGCAAGTCCCGGTAGCGAGGCTCATAGCCGCCCAGGCACGTGGTCAGCATCTGGGCCATGGTGCGAAGCGCAGATGCCGACCCAAGGCGACCGGCCGCCGTTCCCGTGCCACGCTGCCCTGGCTGCAGCTCTGCCGATTGCGTGTGGAAGGACACGTGCGAGAACCACATGGTCTCTGCGCCGTTGGCGTCCGAAGAGGCGACACCGCGCTTGGGGGCACTTAAGCTCTGCTTGAGCTGTACGTAGCCGCTGTCCGTCTTTTGAATTGGCACGGCAACAAGGCTGCGGCGTAGACGGCGCTCGTGTCGCCGATACAGACAAAGCAGCGCATCGTACAAGCACGCGACTGTGAAGTCATCGCAGCCAAGGTCTGCGTTCCACAGCATCAGCATCGCTGACACCAGCCGTTGCAAGTCCTGCTTGGCCGCTGCGCTCCCCGCCTGTGCTGTCGTTGCTGCTGCTGCTGCTGCTGTTGACGTTGTGTTGGCTGTAGAAGCAGTGGTGTCGCTCGTGGTTGTGCCCTGCTTGTCGTGCATCCCCTTGGTTTCGCTGGGCTCGCCTGCGGCTGTGCTTTCCGCGCGGTGCATGAGGTGCAGCAGCGACCAGGCCGTCTGCGGCGTGTACACGTTGAGGACATAGTACTGCTCTCGAAGCGTGCGCACGCCCTCCTCCCACGCGCTGAGCTGGCGGCTGCAGTGCCGTGCCGCCTCCACAATCTGCTGTGGATCGTGGGCAAGCGGGAAGTGGAACAGGTACGACGAGTAGTGCAGGTGCCCTGCCTCGTGCAGCTGCGCAGCCGTGGAAGAAAGCTTCTTAACCCACGCAAACTGCTCCACAAAATGCGCCACAGCAGCCTGGGCCTGCGCAGACCTGTTCTCCGTCTTGAGCAGCAGACGCGCGTGGAAGTCCTCAAGCTCCTCCAATGAGCGCTGGTAGTACGCCCGACCCACATCCTGCTTCTTCGGTGCGGCTGTTGAAGCAGGTGCCGCTGTTCCTGTTGTTGCTGCCGGTTTGCTGTGAGCAGGGTCTTGTGCCTGCTTCGTGGCTGCCGTTTCACTCTCGCTCTCGTGACTGCCGTCATGCTTCGTCTTTTGCGTTGTCATGGTGTTCTTTTTCTTCTTGTTCTTCTGCTTCTTCGTCTGTGTGTCTGTCTTCTGTCTGCGAGGGAGGAAAAACTGCAGGAAGACGTTTGACTGCTGCTGCCCTGGCGCCTGCACCACCACCCACGCTGCCTGCGTCTTCGGCTGCATGAGCTGCAGCAGCTGCGTTGTGCCCGCGTCCCCCACGGCATCAACGAGGGACACGAGGGGGTCGAGCAGGCCCGACAGGCGGGTCAGCGTGCTGTCGAGATTGGCGGGCGGCGTGCGCAGGGCCACGAGCGGCTCGAGCAGCGCCCTTGGATGGCTCAGCTGATCGTGCTGCCGGTACAAGAACGGGTAGAAGTGGCGCCGCACAGCACCGAGCATGGAGAGCACTTCCTCGTCCACGCGCCCGTTCACCCACAGCTCAAAGGGGCACTCGTTCTCCGTCTTGCCCATGGCCATCTCGATGCTGGCCTTGAACTCCTGGTCGTTGTGGAACGACCGCAGCCAGTGCAGCAGGTCCCCGTGCTGCTTCAGCTGCCGCAGCACGTCCTGGCTCACTGCCATGTACCGTCTGTCCACCCGTGACGACGTGGGCAGAATGAAGGCCACGGTGCTGATGGGCTGCTGCCTCCAGTCCTGCGGAAGACTGCGCTGCACGTGGTCGACGGCGTTGCGCACGGAGCGGAGTGCGGGCCTGGCTGAGCCGAGAAGAAGCTGCTCCATGAGGGGCAACACCGCCGTGACGTGGTCTGCGTGGCGTACAAGGTCCACCAGGCGTGTTGTCTGGCCGAGGCTTCCGCCGTGCTCGCTCACCCACTTCTCAGCTTCCAGCCGGTCTCCGACGAGCAAGAAGAAGTCGTCACTCTTGTCTGCGGCTGCTCGAATGCGAAGAGCAAGCGTGTCGCTGACAATGCTGCTGCTTGTGCCGCCGTCTGCCTCAGCATCTTCTTGCTGCTCTGTTGCGGATGTCGCCGCTGCTGTGACTACAGTCACGCCAGCACCTTGCACTGTTGCTGGTGATGGCTGACTTGTCGATGCCCTTTCGCTGCTGCTGCTGCTGCTGCTGGTGGTGGTATCAGTGACGGCAGCAGCAACATCGTGATCTGGCTTGAAGTGTGCTGTCTGCGCCAGCAGAATTAGGGACTCCTTCTTCAACACTGGGGACAGCTGATACAACCTGTTGCGTGTGTGTTTGGAGGGAGGCGGTGGTGTTTTGGGTTGCGTGAGCACGTGTGTGTGTGTGTGTGTGTGTGTGTGTGTGTGTGTGTGTTTGTGTGTGTGTGTGTGTGTGTGTGTGTGTTTATGTGTGTGTGTGTGTGTGCGTGTGTGTATGTTTGTGTGTGTGTGTGTGTGTTTGTGTGTGTGTGTGTTTGTGTGTGTGTGAGAGTATGCCCACGCCTCACAACGCAAAGATAGCGTTGCGTGGAGCGGCACTCACTTGTCCAGGGAGAGGGTTCCGTCTTGCAGCTGCGTCCAGAAGCCACGCCATGCGGCGGCGACTTCCCAAATCCCAACCACATCCTGCGTGCAGTCCTGCCAGATGTGCCGAAACAGCTCGGCCCCGCGCACGCTCTGCAGCCACTCGGCAGCAGTGAGCAGTCGCTTCGGGAGCGACGGTAGTGGTGGGTCAAGTTCGGCAATCGTCTGCCCGTCGTTCAGCGTCAGGTACGGTTTTGCCTCCACCGCCCACTCGCCCGCAAACGCCTGCATCGCCTTTGGGTGTACCAGCGTCAGCTGCACAAAGCGGCACAGTTCGGCGAGCTGCAACGTGTCCACGCAGTCGGAGACGTGTGTCACGGCAGACGCCACCTCGGTACCCACCATCAGGTCAAGGGCCACTTCGCGGGCGTTGTTGAGAACAGCGAGCGCAGAGTCGCGCAACCGAACGCACGTGGTCAGCGCTGGCATGCCGTGGCGAATGTTGATGCTGTAGCACATGTCACGGAAGGTGGCACTGTGCTGGTGCATGGCTGAGAGCGCCGAGAGGCTGCACGTGGTGGTGACGAGCGAGCGGTACTGCGCACCAACGGTTGCGGTGATGCGACGCACAATCTCGTGGAGCTCGCTGCTTACCGCTTTCATTTCTTCAGCAGCAGTGCTCTGAGGTACGCTGGCGTCGTGCTGCGCCTTGTCCTTCTTCGTGCCCTTCTTTGTGCCCTTTTGCTGCTTCTGTACTGTGCTGGCTTCGCCCTCTTGCTGGCCTCCATCGCCGCCACCGCGGGTGGGCCCTTGCTGCTGCTTGCCCGACACCACCACCTTTGGATCCGAGGCCATGAAACGCACCTTTGCGTCCCCAGCATTCCATGCAAGCAGCCTCGCTGCCGCCCGGAAAGCGTACCCGCGGAGAAGCGGCCGCTGCGTGTCACGCTGGGCAACGTTGCTGCCAAACACAGCCTGCATCACAGCGATAATCAGCTGTCGCATAACGTGGCGTGCAAGCGCGTTGCGCAACAGGCCCGCACTGCTGCCGCAGCTGGCGATGAACGGCGCAATCTCGTCCCACACCGCCTCTGCCACATCGGCTTGCGTGATTCCTGCAGTCAGCGCATTGACAAGCACGCTGGCGTGGCCTGGTGCGAGCTGCACCTCCTTGAAGATGACTGGCAGTGTCGCCAGCGACGGCAGCAGCAGGCGTCCTGCTGTCAGCCCCTGCAGGTGACCAGCCATGAGCCACTGCAGTGTCTTCACCTGGAGAGGGTCGCGCGGCATGCTGTACGCCGACCACCACTTCAGCGCCCGCACCAAGCGGCGTGAGTGAGACGCAATGTTGTCGACGCCACTGCTGTCCGTGGGGCCGCCCAGTGTGGCCCCCGCTGCTGTTGCTGCTGCTGCTGCCCCCTTGCCCGTGGTTGCCGCCTGCTGCTGCTGCTTCTGGTGCCTCTGCTTCTGCTGCTCGTTCATCTCCTTGGCCTTTGCCGATGCGGCGGCAGCACCGGACCGCTCCTCCTGCACCCGAGTGATCCATCCAAACGCGGCGGCGCGGAAGGTGGGGTCAGAAAACCCTTTGCCGTTGTTCTGCTGGAGCAGCAGGGTGAGCAGGGTGAGCGACGGCCCGTCGACGTCGATGCGCGGGCGGGAGCGGAACGCCTTGGAACCAAACACCGTCTGCCCGTGGAGGGTGGTGAGGAAGTGGGCCTCTGCCAGGCGAATCAGCTGCTGCATGTCACGCGTGTATGCGTGCGGTGACCACGAGTACTCGCCAAGCACCTCCAGCAGCTTGTCGCTGGCCAGGGAGCGCAGCATGGGGTCCTCTAACACCTGCGGTGTGATCACGTCTTGCAGGCTGTGCAGCACAGGCACGGCGCCAATCAGGGCATCCAGCTGTGGCAGCAGGTCGGGTGACTGCTTGAACATGTGCAGGTTGGCCATCGCGTGTGCCGCCTCGCGCGCATACATTTTCGGCAGGAGCTTCTGTCGCGTTTCGTTGATGCATGTTGCCGCTGCGTTGAGTGCGCGCACAGTGTTGTTGGCGGTGTTGTACGTTCGCTTCACGGCGTCGCTCAGCTTGGCGTACGTGCGCGCGATGGGGCGCATGAGTGTGTCCAGGTGCAGGCGCGCGCGGTCCGTGGCAGCCGGTGTTGCGATGCGACGGACGCGGTGACCAGCGCCCTCCGCCACAATCAAGCAACCCCCGTTGTCAAAGGTGAGGCCACGTGGGCCCTGCAGTGTTGCAGCGCGCCCGTGTCCATCCACCATATCTTCCCGCTCTGTTGGTGATCATCGTGAAAGCGTGTGAGTACTCAGTGTGTTCGAGCACAATTCCATGCATTCGCGTGCGGGGGTAAGGGTTGTTTGCGTTCGTGTGTGTGTGTGTGTGTGTGTGTGTGTGTGTGTGTGTGTGTGTGTGTGTGTGTGTGTGTAATCGATACAACGAAACGTGCACACGTGCCCAAAGAGCGGGCACAATGACATGTGCGGGAGGTTTTCTTGTGCGTGAATTTTACCTGCAAATCCGCCAGCAACAACAATGACTTCTTGCGTGACTGGCGAATACATGACAACGCGGTCGTTTCCCGTGTCGCTCACAAAGATGTCGCCTCCTGGGCTCACAACGATGCCTGTGGTGTTCAAGGGTGTGAGTGAACGCCGTGAACGCGTTGGAACGATTTCGAAGCAAGGAGCGTGGTAGCATGATGACGCAACATTGTGGAGAGAAACAACAACGGGAACCAGAACCAGAACAAAGAACCAGAAAAAGGAACCAGAACCAAAGAACCAGAACAAGAACAGCAGGAAGAAGGCCAAGTCACGCATATTGGCGGAGATTGGTGATGAGTTAACACACACACACACGCACGCACGCACGCAAGCACTCACGCCTTCGACTACGTTCGCCACATTGCCCCCCTTCTGTCTTACCTGACGGTGCGCGCAGCAGGGCGTGAACTCCCACGCCGACGCGCTTGCCAGGGCGCATGGGCGTGCCAAAGAGGGTCTCAACACGCCACGACTTGGTGTCCAGCACGCGAACGCAGTGGTTGCCTTCATCTGTAAAGACGACGTTGCGATTTGGAAGCAGCGCCATGTATGCGGGCGTGTCGAGCATGGTGGTTCCGGAAGGGCCATCTGTGTGGCCGGGCCGTCCAGCGCGCCCAGCCACCGTTCGCACCGTCCGATGGCCCTTCTGTTGGCGTTTGCATGCGCATGTGTGACGGGATGGGCGATGGCATGGATGAGTGCGGTGAAATCAAATCAAATGGTATGACATGACTTGAGAATTGTGCACACCTTTCACAGCACTGGGTTGTGAGTGAGACATAACTTCAACAACAACAACAACTTAAACAACAACTTAAACAACAACTTAAACAACAACTTAAACACAACAACAACTTAAACAACAACAACAACAACTTAAACAACTTAAACGACAACAACTTAAACAACAGCGCAATGACCTTTCACACGCATGAGAGTTCATGCAACATGCATGACGATTAGAGATACATGCGACAGCGCACGCACCGCGTCGGGCGGGCTGATGGCGCGGATGGTGTGATTTCCCGTGTCTGTGATAAGGATGAGCTTCTGCCGTGGAATCTCGAGCGCATGTGTTGGGTAACGGAACTCTGCAGCCGCCGCGTCGCCATCACGCACGCCAGCACGTGTGCACCCTGCAATCGTCTCCACCTTGGCTAGCGCAGATGAGACTTCGCGAATGCAGTGGTTCTCTGCATCAGTGACGACAAATGAGCCGCTTGCAAGTTGCGTCATGCCGCGTGGTCCTGCCAGCCGGACACCTGCGCCGACGCCATCCTGGTGGCCACGCTTGCCCACCCCAAGCGCGGTGGACACCTTCCCCTCTGGTGTGATGACACGCACGCGCGCATTGTCGCGGTCGCACACAACAATGTCTCCGTTTGGCAGAGAGAGCACGTCCTGGGGCGAGTTGAACGAAGGGCGCTCATCTTTGGGCTTCTTCTTCCTCTTCTTCTCCTTTGCAGTGTCCTGTTCCCTCTCTGGTCGGCGCGTGCCACCATCAGTTGCCGACGCTGCTGGTGACAACCCCGTGCTTGCCGATGCGGGACCCGTGTCCTTCTTTCCTTTGCCTTTGCCTTTGCCTTTGCCTCTGTGTGTGTCAACAACAACCTCGATGGGGGTGTCCTGGTTGCCTGCGTTTTAGTGATGTGATGTGTTGTGATGTCAGCACACAATGTTGTTTGCGCACAATGTACACAATGTACACGAGTGAGCGGGCGTGCGTGCATGCGTGCAGTTGAGTGGGAGGAAGAAAGGAGGGTGGGTGTGGAGCGGTGGCTCAAGATAACATCACATGATCAACAGCAGAGCAAACGCCCAAACAGCCGCAGAGGCGTGCGCGTGGCATGTCCCAATACACACACACGTACTCACTCACTCATTCACTCACCCACCCACTCACCCACGCACACACCAACCTCGGGTGCCTGTGCCGCTGATGGTGGTGACGCGGAAGTCACGGGGACCAAGCTCCAGTGGCGCGTTCTTCTGTTTTGCTTTCTTCTTTCCCTTTCGCTTTTGTCTGCCCCGACCTGCGCCGCCGCTATCGTCGTCATCATCATCATCATCATCATCAACATCATCAACTTCATCATCATCGTCGTTATCCTCCAGTTCATCCTCACCGTCATCGTCACCATCGTCGTCATCGTCGTCATCATCATCATTTTCGTCGCCACCTCGTGCCCATGAACTTGGCCCAGCTGTGCCTTTTCCTGCAGCACTGCCTCCCTTCTTTGCCGATGCGGGCATCAAGTCCATGAGGGCGTTCATGATGGCTTTGTCTTCATCCGCCAGCCCAAAGTTGAACGTGTAGATGAGCGTGCGCAGTGTGGTGTCCTTAAAGCTCTTCCCACGCTCGTCCAAGGCCGTCTTCTCCCACTTACGCAATGCTGCTAGCGTGGCGCCCAGGTCCTGCACAAGGCATTCGCCTGCATTCACGCGCGTGTGCACGTCGGTGAGCATCTGCTCATCACTCGGCTGGAGCACGCCGTCGGCAATGGCGCTGCGAAGGCGATGGTGCAGCACACGCTTGCTGCGGGACGCGGCGGCGAGCGCAGCCTCAAGTGCACCCATGTGCTGGTCAAGCACCGTCAGCAGCCAGTGGCACACTTGGAGCAAGGGAGAAAGCGCGCGTGGAGGCGGGGAGGAGCGATGAGGCATGCAACAGGAAAGGGGAAAGACAGGAGGAGAAGATCGGGATGGTGAGATGACGAATGGTGAGATGACGAATGATGTGCACCGACATGAGTCATGTGGCCGTGGTGGTCGAGAGGGCGGGCGCAGGGTAGCCACAGACAATAAAGACGCGCGTGTGAAACGGCACAGGGAAAATCCCACGAATGTCGCACGCGAGTTGCCCACCACCATACACATACACATATGGAGTTATCGCGCGCAAGCATACACCTGCACACATGTATGTCACTCATTGATGTCGCTCGGAAAACATGCACAACCACGCAGGCAACCAACACTCATCAGCAGCGCTCACACGCATTCTACCTGAGAGGTGGAACGGCTGCCGCACTTGCGTCTGCCACTTGCGTGTTGCTGGCGGCTGCTTTGTGCCGGGGATGTGCAGGGCAGCAGGCTTCACCTCCCTCAGCGCAGCCAAGGCAAGGGCCAGGCCGTTCCCAAAGGCAAAAGCCTTGTAAGGTGTGCCCCAAACAAGTGCAGGGCGAGCTGGCATGGCGCGGACACGCGTAAGCACGGGGAACACGCGCGGATAGCGGAAGGAGGTCAGGATGGATGTCATGTCCACGCAAATCAGCCCACGCAGCGCTTGCTTGAACACAAACAATAGCATCTCCAGGCCCTGACATGAGCCAATGCACGGCACACGTGTGTGTGTGTGTGTGTGTGTGTGTGTGTGTGTGTGTGTGTGTGTGTGTGTGTGTGTGTGTGTGTGTGTGTGTGTGTGTGTGCAAGGCAAAGCCAAAGGTCAAGTAATGTTGTATGAGTTCACGCAACAAAAATGGTATGGCATACCCGACACACCACAAATTCACCAAACGCAAATGCGCACAAGCAGATCCACACATCATACGCACACGCATGCACAACACACATGCACATTGCAAATCCACACATCATCATACGCATACGTACGTGCTCCCACGCGGTGAGGGACCTGCGCTGGTTCAGCCAGGTTGAAATGGCGTCGGCGGCTGCTTGGCGGGTGATGAGAGGCGCAAGCTCCCAAACACGTGGCGAAAACTGGATCAGGCTGCGGTGGTGCTGTGCAAACCGCAGGATTTGGCCCGTTAGGCACGCCCGCGCTACAAACGCCTCCAGCGAATCCTGCCAGCAATGAGCGTGTACATGAGTGTGTGTTCATGTGAGTGTGTGTGTGCATAAGTGTGTGTGTGTGTGAGTGTGTGTTCATGTGTGTGTGCGTGCGTGTGTGTGTGCATATGTGTGCGCGCGCGAGTGTACGTGTGTGTGTGTGTGAGGGTAATGAGGGGTGTGAGCAAGTTGGAGATGGCGGGCGTCCACAGGCATCCAGCAAACACACACACACAAGTGCATTGCTGTGTACCGACCATGCCATATTTGTCCAGCGCGTCAAAGGTGACACGAAGGGACTGATAGGAGCGGTCCATGAACTTCCAACTGTACGCGCGTGCATGCGTGAAGTGAGGAAAGAGGAATGGTGACAATTGCACTCCCAGGTGCTCAGGTACACGGCACAGAACACGTGCGCTTCGCAACACAAAAGCACAGAGCCACGCACCAAACAGCAGAGCACACAACTCAGCACAACACACGAGCAACAATGTACACACCCTCGAAGCGTGGAGAGGAGCAACGCTTGGTGCCAGACGAGCCACGCTGCCTGTGCCAACATGGGGCCACGCTTGACAGCGCCACTGTCAAGGCCGGGCCTGGATGCGGCCACATATGCCATGTACTCGGCGCACAGGGTGATGGGGCTCGCTGGGGGCTGCTTGGCGGTGGGCATGTGCACGATGGCAAACTTGACGCAGTTTGTTGCGTTTGACTGGTCGATGCTCAAGTACAGCGTCTTCACCTCTTCCACAAGGCCGGCCTGCGTGCTGCCTTGGTGTCCCTTGGCCGCAAATGAGATGGACAGCTTGATCTGCAGCTCAAAGCGCGCAGCGTCAGCGCATCGCTTGCGCAGACCATTGTCGCCGTCTTGCGACGAAGCCTCGCCGCTCTGTTTCTTCTTCGTCTGCTGCTGCTGTTGCTGTTGCTGCTTGTCCTTGGCTGGCGACCCTGATGGCGATCCAATCCAGCGCCAGGCTTTTGGGGAGAGCCGGGGCGTCTGCAACTCGCACACGTACAGGTGGTCTTCGCGGTGTGCCAGCTGCGGAGTGTCGGCCAACTGGAACGCAGGGACGAGACCGTGCACCGTATGCTGCCCAGGTTGCCCATATTGCCCAGGTTGCCCAGGTTGCCGGGCTGCATCTGCAGCGGCTGCGCCTGTGGGTTTGAAGCGTTGCTGCATGCTGAATTGGCGCGACAGAGGGCCGGGTGGTGCGTGGGTATCGGATTCGATACGATGGAGGCGGTCAAAGCCACTGGCGGCAGCGGGGCCCGCAGTTGCGAGCGGCGGTGCTGGCGCGGAGACCATGCGGCCAAGCGGTGCCCGAAACGCTGCCGATGAGCCTTCGGTGGGGGAGGAAGTTGGTGTGGGAGCTTTGCGCGACCCCACATCAGAGCTTGTGCTTCCGTGGTTGCTGGCGACGGCGTCTGGTACGAGGAGCGTGCATTCTTTGACGCTGATCTTCTTGATCGCTGGTGTTGTTGATGTCGATGAGCCACCGTCACTGCTCTGGGCGAGGTCGTCACCCGTGCGCTGCTCGCCAAGTGCCCTTGGCACGAACAGCGTGAGCAGGACTGTGCCCCGCTTGTGCTGGACGATGCTTGGGATGGTCATGTCTTGCCGGCCCCGGCGCCCACTATTCGCGTTTCCGCCACTGCCATTGCTTCTTCCACCAGCTCCGATGCCACCACCCATGCCGGAGCGATCGGCCTCCATCTGGCCGACCTCCACCCGCAGCATGGTGACCGCTGCGCAGACGGGACTTGAAAGGGGAGGGGGTGCGGGTTTGAGTACGAAGGGTGTGTTGTGGTGGTTGGTGGGTGGTGGTGAGGAGAAGGGGGAGGGGGGACGAGCTGTGGGATGAGGTCGATCTGGGGTGGTGGGCAAGTTGTTGTTTTGTTGGTGTTTGCCACTGCTGCCGAATTACATGCCCAAATCTGAATTCAGTCGCTGCCGATATCAGCAAAGGCCGTTACACGAAGATGGCGGACGCAAACGAGGAGGCGCTCGTGTACGCCGAGCTGCAACAAGAACGTGAGTACAGGAGGGTGTGTGTGTCTGTGTTTGTGTGTCTGTGTGTGTGTTTGTGTGTCTGTGTTTTTGTGTGTGTATATGTGTGTGTATATGTGTGTGTATATGTGTCTGTCTGTCTGTCTGTCTGTCTGTCTGTCTGTCTGTCTGTCTGTCTGTCTGTCTGTCTGTCTGTGTCTGCCTGTCCGTGCGTGCGTGCGTATGTGTGTGTGTGTGTGTGTCTTCGCCTGCCCTCACCCACGATTTATCTCCAAGTGATTGAGTTACAGCGGGAGAAACGGCTGCTACAGCAGAAGTTACGTCGGCACAGGCTACAGCAGTCGCTGTCCAAGAAGACTGCCACACTCGATCCTTCCCTTCAAGGACCAGCCGCGAAGGAGGTGCGATCTCAGCCCTACTCGCGCTCTGTGTGTGTGTGCATGTGTGTGACTCGGTGGCGTCTGTCTGTTTGTCTCTCTCTGTATGTGTGTCTGTATGTGTGTGTGTGTCTGTGTGTGTGTGTGTGTGTGTGACTCGGTGGAAGTTTGCTCGCGTGTGCTTGATGTCGTGCTTCTTGCTGACCATGCATCGTATATTGTGCAGGTTGTGGATGCAGCAGCGACAAACGCAAAACGAGCAAAGGTTAGCAGAATTAAATTTGCACACACATGCGTGCGTACACCTATACATCCACCAGCACACATGTACACAAGCACAAGCATATACAAGCTTGCACACACATATACACACACTTGCACACACACACACACGCACGCAAACTTACACACACACACGCACGTACGCAAACTCACACCCGCGCCATGCCACACTGCACGCAGTTGAGTGAACTGCAGCGGGCATATCGGCTGGGTGGGTGTGCGGTGTTTGCAATCGATCCCGTGACGGTCGGGGTTCGCTTTGAGACAAGCTTCGAAGGCACCTACTACGAGGAATACTTTGCTGTGCTGGTGTTCAACGAGGAGCACTTTGAGCTCTCCAAACACACGCTGCCCGGGTTCTTGCCACTGGACCGGCTCCGGCAGCACGCACGCACCAACCTCACCACATTCCTGGAGGACACGAGCGCTCTCCTTCAGGCATACGTGTCACGGCGGCAGCAGGTGCCCATAATTGTGGAGTGGAGTGGCAGGAGTCCGTGGTGGCTACTGCCGGTGCTCCTGCTGTTCTTTCTCTTGCTGATTTGTCTCGTTCCTGTTGTTGTTGCTCTTGCGGCCAGTGCACGTGACAATGATGATGCTCACATCACACTCACCGTGCCATGTGCTGACGTGCATGGCAGCTCAATGCGCTGCAAGAGGTCGTTGTGAGCGGGGAAGAAGTCCTAACAAACCCTTCGTGTTCTTGCGCAGAATTCCTCACCATGATTGGTGCGTGCATTGCCAGCCTGCAAGTTGGTGCACACGACTCCATCAGCACACATACGCGTGAACCTGACTGGCGACTACACACGCATTCAAATGACTCTCTCTGGACTCGAATTACTCACTCACTCGACTCAAATAACTCACACACACACACACATCTACAGAAGAGCGGCTGGTGAAGGTGAGGCTGACGGCAGATGACCTGGACTGCGCAGCGTTCACGTCGCTGACCATCCACTCCACAGGTATGGCGCACTGCTTTGCTTTTGGCAATCGTGTTGCAGTGTGAAGGAGCTGGTGTAAGAGAGGGGGTCTTGTATTCAACAACAACAACAACAACAACAACAACAAACAAACAAACAAACGACATTAAGCCACATCACAACACAGCACATGACGGCACATGACAGCAACAACATGTCTCACATTACCACAATACCACAAGCCATGCATGCACATCACCATGGCCAAAGCTGGCATCAACATCAATCCACACCATTGTGAAAACACCCACACTCCCGACGCAACACATGCGCATCGAACAACGCAGCAACACACAACAGAACAGCATACGCTTATACGAACACACAGTGCAACTACTCAACAGGCACGCCTCCTTGTTTGTTTGCTTGTGCCTCTTGTGGGCGATTCCTTCACACAATATGCACCACCACTGTAGGTGACAAGGCAGAGCGGCTGGCTGCGCTTGAACACAAAGTGTTGACAACGTCCATCTCCACCAAACTGCGAGGCGTGGTGTCTAGGCCAGCTTGTCCTCAATCCACTCGTTCTCCCGGCGAACCTACAGCAAGCCCACAGCACGACGGCCACGAGTAGCAGAAGAAAGACGGGGGAGGGAGAATGTGTGTGTGTGTTTGGGTGTGTGTGTGTGTGTTTGGGTGAGTAAGTGGTTGGGCGAAGGGGTAAGGGAAAGCGGTTTGAATGTTGGCGTTGATGGGCTACATGCACCGCGCAGACGCGGCGGGCTTAGAGTTACACTGTGCTTGATGCGGAAAGACGCGCGTGTCATTAAAGGACGTAACGAGTTTCATTTGCAAAGGACACGGTACGGGCTGAGACGCACCTGTTCCTCTTCCTGTGGGGTGAAGTCGTTCTTGATGTTAAACTGTTGGCGAATTTCCTCGACGCTGCGGTTCTTGATCATGCCAGCAACATGCTTGCACGTCAAGTCCAGCAGGGACTTGATGTCAAGGAAGTTTGCGGCCTGCAATCAAACAAAAAAAAAGAGAAAAGAAAAGGAAGAAAGAAAGAAACGCGTTTGGGATAGCGGTGGTGAGTTGTGCGTGCGTGTGTGTGCGTGTGCGTGCGTGGGTGTGCGTGTGCGTGCGTGTGTGTGCGTGTATGTGTGTGCGTGGGCTTGCAGGAAGAAAAAAAGCTGGCAGGCATGGATCGGTTGGTGAACCAAGACGTGGTCACGTCAGTGATGCACGTGAACGGCATGGCCAGTGGGCTGTGTGAACAAAAACGAACCAGGATGAGCTTAAACAGGGTGCTCTGGTCCATGTCGCGCAGGAACTCTGCGTCGAAGCCGGATGGCTCGTCCTCCTTCTTGGTCGACTCGTCCTTCTCCGCAACATCATCGGCGTGGTTCTCGCAGTACTCAATCACCTGCATGGTTTTGTGTGTGTGTGTGTGTGTGTGTGTGTGTGTGTGTGTGTGTGTGTGTGTGTG